TTCATGAAATCCAGTTTGTCAATTTTTTATTTTAGTGCCTGTCTCTTTGGGGTCAGATCCAAGAAACTGCCAGATTCAATGTGAAGAATTTGCCCTATTTTTTCTTCTAAAAGTTTTATAGTTTTAGATCTTATATTTAAATCATAGGTTCATTTTGAGTCAATTTTGGTACATGGTGTTAGATAAGGGTCCAATTGCATACTTTTGTATGTGCATATACAGCTCTCCCAGTATCATTTGCTGAAAAGACCCTCTTTTCCCCATTGAATCATCTTGGCATCCTTGTCAAAAAATCAGCATATGTGTGAAGGTTTGTTTTTGGACTCCCTATTCTATTTCATTTCTTTATTTATCTGTCTTTGTACCAGTACCATATTGTTTTGATTATTGTATCTTTGTAGTTAGCTTAAAAATCAGAAAGTGTAAGCCTCTAGCTTTATTCTTTTTCAGGATTGCTTTGGATAGTCAAGTTCCCTTGAGACTCCGTATAAATTTTAGAATGAGTTTTTGTATTTCTACAGAAAAAAGTCTTTGGGATTTTGATAGAAACTGATGATGTTAACTTTTTCTATACAAGAACACAACATGCCTTTCCATTGTTCAAATATGCTCTTATGTTTTTCAGGAGTGTTTTATATTTGTTCCTCATAAATGTTTGGACATAATTTCTTTGAAGTTTACGCCTAGGCATTTGATTTATTTATTTAGTTAGTTAATTTAGTTAAGCATCTGTTGATATTGTAATTGATGTTTTCCATTTTAGCTTCTAACTACTTTTTGTTTATATATATATGAAAGCCATTGGCTTGTGTATACTGATGTTAGAAGTCTGTTTTGCCAAATTCTCTTATTGCTTTAATAGTTTCTTCACTAGCAGTTCTGAGATTTTATATGTATAAACTTATCACCTGAAAAGTGTTTTTCCTCTTTCTTTCTAATTATTATGCCTATAATTGCTTTCTCTTATTTAAATACATTGGCTAATAACTCCAACCAATATTAAAACCAGTAGTGCTAACAGGTAACTTTGACTTCTCCCAGACTGTAATGTTAAAGCTCCATTAAATAAGAGGCTTTGTGTTAATATACAGAAAGAAGCATTTTGGAGACGAAAATGAATAAGACAAATTCTTATTCTCAGGGGATTCACAGACTTGCGGAAGGTGATAGACAAGCAAAGAACCTATTTTAATAGTAGAACAATGTCTGCCATAGGGTGTGCACGGACTGATGTAGAAGTACCTTAGAAAAGGCACTTAGCCCAGTCTTGGTGATCAGACAATGATGCTTCTTAGTAGAGCTGATATCTACGTTGAGACCCTGGTGTAATTAGGAGTTAAATACAGATGGAGGGGAGAGAAGTTCACATAAAAGGAATAGCATGAGCAAATAATAGGAGATAAAAGGAAGCAGAACTCTATCTGGGAAACAGAAGTTCAGTTTAGTGAAAGGTAGGGATGGGAGGGAAGTAGAGACTGGGTGGAGATTAGCTGGTATGGTAAGTCAAAGAGTTTGAATTTTATACTAGGGCAAGGGAGATTAAACAATGGTTTTAAGTGTTTTAAATAGAGGTTACACTTGATCAGTGGTTTTGACATTCTTCCTAAAAAAGATAGCATATATATATATATATATATATCTCCCTAATATCCCTGCCCCTTTGGTGTTGTGCTTTGCCATGTGGCTTGTTTTGGCCAATGGGATATTAGTGGATATGACATAAGCAAAGACTTAAAACGTACTTGTGGTTAAATAATGTGGTTGAGTTTGTCCTCTTTCCTCTTGAAATGCTTCCATTACCATGAAAAGAACTTGCCTGGAAGAGCCCACTGTATTCAGAACAATAAGAAAAACACAGAACAGACCTGAACCAAATCCACAGTCTGGAGCCCAGCCGCGAAAGTCCTACTGGAATAAGTAAAAGCTGTCTGAGCTCACATATGCGACGTGAATAGAAACGATTATCATTATAAACCACTGAGTATTGGGGTTATCTGTCACACGGCATTGTTATTACCTCAGCTGTCCAGTAAAGAGAGGGAATCATAGAAAAGTAAATCCTGTTTTAAGATCATTAGAATCTTCCCACTAATGTGTAATGGTGGTCTGACTAGGATGATGGCAGAGGAAACAGAAGAAAGAAGACACTTGAGAGACATAAAAAAGGTGGAATTTTAAGGGTTCAGTGATTAGTTAGATATCAGAGTTACAGGGAGAGAGGAGGAAAGCCTGTTGAGGTTTCTTGCTTGTGCAACTAGGAGAGCCATGGGACCATCCTGTGACACACAGACCACAGGAAGAACAGCAGGATCAAAGGTCTGGCTTGGAACTTGTTGAATCTGAGCTTCCAATGCACAGTCAAGCGGAAATGTCCTTGACATCTGTCTGTTCATCTATGAAGTGGGATAACATCCCATGTGTCTACCTATCTCCCAGGGCTGTCGTGGAGAACAAACAAGATAAAACCTGCAAAAGGGCTTTGAAAAGAACATAGTACTGACCAACTGTGATCATTATTAAAATTAAAGCACTAACACTTTCATTTTCATGCTGCCAGATGTAAAAGCACATTTTAATTTTATTTTTGAAACAATGCTACTGAGTTTGTTGCTTGTCACACATTCTTTTTTATTGTCTGAGAGAAGGCAGAGCTGATGCTTCTGAGAAACAGTATAAACAACATATATGTATTTTAAAAGACATGTCAGAAGAGAATTTAAAGACAAAAGATCCTAGAGTGAGAAGAGCCAGGCTCTACCTGTGAGATCTTGAACCATCATTTAAGCTCTCTGGGCCTCTCATTCTTCTTTGTGAAATGAAATGTTGTGTTTGTTGATTTCTAAGATGTCTTACTGTTCTTGCATATATGGAACTATGAGTTCTTTTAACATTTTTCAGCTTTACTTAACTCCTGCTAATGATGCTCTTCAAATTTATCTGTAGTTTAAAACAGAGTTTCACACTTGCCTGTCCTCACCCATGTTAGCTCAAATCTTTATCAGCAAGTTTTCTTTTGGAGCAAATTCAGCTGGTCCAGATTGCCTGTTACGTCCCAGGCAGGAAAGCTTATTTTCATCTATGTGTGAGGGATAAGGATCTAGAAGGAGTTCTGATTGGTTTATTTCTTTCGCTGTGGCAGGATTCCATTTACCACTTAGTCAAGGTGGTAATGAGGGTCTCGGTACCAGGCAACTGTGGCTGCCATCTGGCCGGCCAGCACCATACACTCAGCAGACAGAACCAATTAGTCAGGCCCCACACCTCCCACGAGGTTTTGCTGTGTTTGGCGGCTGGGTGTTAGCCCTGCTGAGCCTCCCACAAGAATTCGGGGAGGGGAGGGGCAAAACATCTCCCTCTGGCACTGAAGAGCTAGCAAAGAACCCAGATCATGGAGGTCCAAGAACAGCTTACCCAATGAACAGCCAGCCCGTTATAATGGCTAGCGCAGAAACTGTACCCCAAGTGGGCAGCTTGATGTGCTGGGGGAGTGTCAAGAAACACATTTCCATTTAACAATTTAGAGAAAATCTAGAAATGACGTAAATGCCATCAATTAGGGATTAGTTAAATGAGCCATGTTAGGTCCTTATAAAAGAATGAATACAGTTTGGGGGATTGAGGACCTAGACCCTGAGGCTCTGCTACTGCTCGGCCACTTGACCTCTGTTTCTCAGTTCTTTCATGTATGATCTGAAAGTAATAAGAGTTCCTACCTCGTTGGGTGTTTGGGAGTAGTAAGTTAGTTCATATATGTAAAGAGCTTAGAATAGTGCCTGGCATATAGTAAATGCTGTCTAAGTGTTGGTTCTGAGTATGACTCTCACAGAGGCCTTGAAGACGATGTTTAGAGCGAATTTTTTCAAGCAGGGGGGATAATTCTTGATATGACGTGAATAGACCAGGGTAACAAAGAGCACACACATAATGATTCCCATTCTACATCTATGCATGGAAGAAGAAAGAGAAATATACCACTGTTTCTTTGAGTTTTATTTTCTCCTTACTTATATTCTTCCTTCCGCTTTCCAAACTTTCTACATGAGTATATGATATTTATAATTTGAAGGAGCAATACAAATTTTAGGAGGAAAAGAGGAGCGAAGACCCCAGTGTTAGAGACCTTCCAGAACATGGTCGGAGGTCCACTGGTGGGCTATTAACCACTCCAAATCATACTCTGCCGAGTTCTTATGAGAAAAAGATAACAAACCCATAGAATTTTATTTTCTCATGACTGAAAACTAGCAAGCATTTGTGATTTAGTAAGGGCTATTAAAATCAGAAACTAAAAATAGTTATGTTAGAGTTTACTGCAGGCTGTAATTCAGTACTCTGCTAAAATATCTGGCTGTCACCTCATGCTTGGCAGTGCTGTAGAATTCCTACTCTATGTGTCTGTTTAATTGCGATTTTAACAATTTTTGGAAATGGTACTTTGTTATCAATGAATCATTAGTTTGTCTTGATTTGAATCCAGTTTTCAATTGCTGTTGCTCTTGCTTTTTAATTATAAATTACTGATCATTTTGATTCATCATTATCAAGTTAGTTTATTGGTGGATTGTTTGGTTGATTCTTAACAGAGTGCAGTGATATATATTTCTATCAAGGTAGTTTAGGGCTGATATTTTTTTGCCATCTAAACATTATTTCATTGGATTTTGAAAATAAATGATCTCTTCCTGAAATGTTGAAGTAGACAGAGCCTCCCCTCCAACACACCCCAAACCTGCAAGTATGGTGACACATCACTGTATAACTACCACTGAATTAGTCACAGATATTGATTGACTGATTCAGTTGGTGGTCAGCAACGATGCAATATACAAAATGACCTCAAAATTCACTTTCAGGTTGAAAAAAAAAAAGATTCTAATTCTATCTGATGCAAAATGTATTAATTACCATTGGTACAAACCTGTGTTGGTGTGAGTCTGTTTCCAACCTAACTGAATTTTCCTAGCCAATTACCAAGAAAAGCTCAGATGTTGGTCACTCACTTTGCCGTCCAGAAATCTGTGACCGAGTACTCCTGTTAGGAGTTTCTGGTTGTGCTCTGAGCGCTTGCTCTCTTCCACATCGTGTGCGTCAGGATTGATCTGATGATTGGTGGAATTAGTAGGAGCTGGGGGGTCTTGGCTCATCTGCCTTGCAATACCAGTCACGGATTTCTGGAGCATTGTTTGAGTTTCTGCCTTCAAGTTCTTATTCTCCTTGCTGTGAAGAAATAGTTTTACACTTGGTTATTCACAGCACAAGCAGACTCTGCATGCACTAGACTGACATTAGAAAAGGAAGGTGTTAATCTGGTGGTGCGAAGAGTGGTGACCCAGCATGGCGGAATGAAGACGTTAAGGCTGGTTATTCGTCTAAGGGTCGTTTATCATAGAGACCATGTCATTCTCTTCTCAGGTTTAGCTTCCTCAGACGCATAAAGATTATCTACCTTCCTGCTCCAAGACCCTTACTGTAAGAAATGGCAGTGTCAATGGGGAACCCTAAAGGTTATCGCGTATCTTTCTACCTTACAAGTCAGTCAGGTATTCCCAGTGTTTACCATTAGAAAAGGAAGAAGGTCAAGGTGATTTGCTCTGTGTTTCTTCTCAACTGCCTCACTGTGAAGCTTCTTTTTCTCTCAGATCGTCCTCCATTTAAGTTTAATATTAAATGGGAAGTGCAGGATTTAAAGCCAAAAATGGTCATGGAGCAGACAGTTAACTCTTCCGGAGGAAGGCAAGGGGGACAAATCACCTGCTTGAATCACCCTCAAAATCCTGTTGTAGGCAGTTTCTCAGGATGGAATTGCCTGAGAAATGTGGAATGTAAGTGCCTGTCTGTTAAAACAGCCAGAGTAGATGTAAAATCAAAAATAACCTGTTAAATCTGTTCAAAGTAAAAGCTGTTTTTGAAAAACTAACAACAACAACATACACACATAGCACTTTAAAATGAACATGAAAAAGACTCCCCAGCTGAGAAGTGGGCATGTGTCTGCTGTTAGCACAAATAATTCCGCAGCACACATTGGTGGTTGTACTGTTGACAAACCCACAGTTCTTGCTTCTAGGCTTCTGTGCTATCTACCTGCAATACTGAAAACAGAAATTTGCCATTTCAAAAGAAGGAAACAAAATGCCATCAATACTATTTTGGAAGCAAGACACAGCTAGTTTCCTACATGTACTTCTAACCTCAGCTGCTGCTCCCCAGGACGCTGTGAAGTGTTCGGTGTCATCTGGGAACTGCGGCAATTAGGGAGGATGACTGCATTGCTGGATGATGAATAAATGAGGAGAAAACTGTCCAATTGTTCCCTCTCTCACACTGGGCTCTTCCTGCAAACCGGCCTTTTAGTGCCACCCCTCTACTAGAGCTCAGAGTCCCAGGATTAGAAAGAAACATTGCAAGGGCGTCCAGTAGCACCCTCTGCCCAAAGCAACGTACACATCCTGCGCTGACCCTGCCTCCCGTGCAGTTCCACCTCACCAGATCGCACATTTGATTTGGATTACACCCCTGCCGAGAACATCAAGTCTCAAATGGAGGACCCAGGGGGCTCCGTGAAAAGGTCACCAGATGCCATCTTAAAGGTCTGCCAGCCTTGGCAGCGAGTCAGTGCTGCCAGTTTCCAACTGCGTGGCATCTCACAGGCCCCCAGCCCTCTGGAGGAGACAGCCCGGAGTGTGCCAGCGTAAGGAAGGGGGATCTGATTTCAGTAGATGAAAGCATGCTCTTAGTTGGGAGTAATAACAGACAATCAACACAACCAGGCTTTTCTCTTTTAGAAAGAGAGCAGCAAAATTAAAATAAGTAAATAAATAAAACGGGACTGGGAGGAGAGCACAGCTGAAAATCTCACCCAACTCCACGGGGAAGCTAACGTTGTGATGAAGTGTAGGGATTTCTTCTTCCTTTTTTTTTTTAACGCCACGGAACCATCCGTATATTATTGATATTTAATCTTCAGAAAGATTTTTAAAATACCTTAACTCCCAAACCTGTGTCTGAATCATTTCTTCCTCATTGCAATCATGCTAGCTAACAGGTCCTAAAGGCTTATTTCTGTGGGGCAGCTACTGCGTATAAATTCACACAAATTCTCTTATGTTATCCTAAGAATCCTGAAAAGCAGGTAGTATGATCGCCATTGTACAGACGAGAAAATGAAAGGTCGGAGAGGTTAAGTAAGTTGCTCTTTGAGGAACTGGTAACAAGGAGAGGTCTGGGGCTCCGACGCAGGCCCGTGAGGCGCCGAAGCGTGGGCTCCTCCCCCGACGTTCCTCCTCAGTCTCACAACCATAGTAAACGAACTACCAGTAAACAACAGGATTTTGATTCTTTTAAATGTTAATAAAAAACAACATATATAAAAGCGCCTAGTCCACCTTCCAACCTAGGCTTGAAGACCATCTCAGAACAGCCAAGTGGCCATCCTTCAGCTTTGCTTCCTTGCGCCTTCCCAGGGGCGAGGGATCTATTACATCCCCAAAGTTATTTCCAAAGTCTCCCATGTCTTTCTTCATAGCATTGAACCACATTCCGACATCAGTGAAAATAACCAAAGTGTATTTTTCATGGCATTTCCACTATGCTTTATAGAATAAAAATAGGTTCTCAAATGAGGGCCATTTTGGCTGCAAAATTAGCAACCAGTTCAATCAGCAATTGTTCTTTGGTATGATTTACTGTTCTTTTCTTCACCCCTTTCCTTTTTTAATTGAAGTATAGTTAACTTTTACAAGGTTATATTAGTGTCAGGTGTACAGCATAGTAATTCACTATTTTTATAGATTTTACTCCATAGAAAGTTATGATAAAATGTTGGCTATATTCCCTGTGCCGTTCATTACATCCTTGTAAGTTACCTATTTTATATATGGTAGTTTGTACCTCTTGAGCCCCTTCACCCACTTGGCTCTCCCCCAACCCCTCTCCCCTCTGGTGACCACCAGTCTGTTTACCGTATCAGTGAGTCTGTTTCTATTTTGTTATATTTGTTCATTTGTTTTATTCTTTAGATTTCATGTATAAGTGAAGACAAACAGTATTTGTCTTTTCCTGTCTGACTTATTTCACTAAGCATAATACCCTGCAGGTCCATCCATTCCATCCATGTTGTCATCTATGGCAAAATTGCTTTCTTTTATATGGCTAAGTAATATTCCATTGTGTATGTACATACCACATCTTCTTCATCCATTCATTTTTCAATGGACATTTCAAATTTGTGTTTTCATTTTCCTCAAATAAATTAAATTGCAGGAAATGATATCCCAACAATCTCTTCTGCAGCCTTCTTTTTCTACTTAATGCAGTTCTACAGCATCGGACACATTTGCACCATGGATATTTCCTTCTATCTCACTTGATTTTTAGCTATGCATTACTACTTTCTTAGTCAAGGCTGCAGTGAACATCTATCTGGTCCACTCACTGTCTTCAGACTGTGTCATCTTCAAAGGTGTCATAGTTAAGTGTGGGAAGTAGACATTTAAACAGAAAATTATAATATAACCTGATAACTGAAAAAAAAAGAGTATGTAAGAAAGAAATATAGAATCATAGAGGACTTTCAAGCCAAATCTGCTTAAGAGGGATGGAAATGACTCCATGAAGGAATTGACATATAAAATAGCAGTTGAAAAGAGAAAATAAGAGATGGGAAAATATTCCAGATGGAGTGTAGGGCTTGTTCTTGGAGCAAAAGACAGTGTTTAAATGTCAGATCACCTGAGATGGGTCATAACAGCACTGGGTGCTGGATAATAAGACAGAAACTTGAATCCCTCTGAATTTATTAAATCAGAATTTCTGAAAGCAGCAGAAGGAAATGTACATTCTTAGCAAACATCTCAGCTGATTCCTATGTACACTAAAGTCTGAGAAACAACAGCATAGAGAATGAAAAAGGAAGGTCTTTTCCATAATTGTGCAAAATTTACACATAATTTCAATCAGTGGTTAAGGACATGGACTATATGTTCAGCAGACCTGCTTTTGAATCCTAGCCCAAAACATAAGTTGTGTGAATTCTGCTAAGTTACTTCACATCTCTGATTTTCAGTTTCTCATTTGTGAGATTAGAAAAATAATACATATCAAGATAAAGATGTGTGAAATATTTAGCACTGAGCCTGGTTCTCAGTCAGCCTGTGGCAGATGCTAATTTTATTTTAGTCCTAAGTAAAGTGCTCCTTTATCAGCACCTTCCTCATCACCCAGGTACAGAAGGAATGCTCTTTCCCTTGGATCCCCAAACGTAATTGATAGTTAAAACTAAAATTGGAAAAAGATCAACGTTTCATGGATCACAGGAACTGAGGAAAATCTATTTAAATAGCTAAAAAGAGAACGTTAATATAATCTAGCCAGCCACCTTCTTATTTACTAATGCAAGTTCTAGAAATCACTCACTTAAAAAAAAAGCAGATTAATTAGTATTTAAAATCCGTTTTGATAAAGCACAATTCTTTGGAATCACTTTCCTTAACTTTCTAGAAAAAAATCCGAAACATTGTTGCATCACAATGTCCTCAGGCGAATTATACCCAGGAGCTGTGTAAACTGTACTGTTTTTAAATCTTTGAGCCAACAGTTTCAGCTACAGGCTTGAAATTAATGTCCTGTGCACGTGCATCCTCCCCTGTTTTGCAAGGTGATTGCACAGCTGCCTGGCCTCTTCACCAGTTATGTCAGAGCTTTAAGGAGCAGTTCTGAGTCAGGTCTTCTCCCCATACCCTGAGAGGACACAGCACAAACAGTTCTCCTCTATCTGGGACCCCTTCTTGATGTATCCACACTGTCTATGGGAACGAGAAGCAATAATCACTGCTCTGTGATTTTGTTTAATTAGATTGCACTAAAGCAGGGGTATGTGAAGAGATCACGGATTTACAAAGTGTACTAGAGAGAAGGAGGGGAGGAATGAATGGGCAGAGAAAAGGATTTTTAGGGCAATGAAAGTACTCTGTATGATACCATAGTGGTGGATACACGTTATTATACATTTGACAAAACCCACAGAATGTACACCACCAAGAGTGAACTTTAAGGCGAACTATGGACTTTGGGTGATAATGACTTGCCATGGTAGGTTCATCAACTGTAACAAACGCATCACTCTGGTGGGGGTGTTGATAATGGGGAACTATGCGTGTGTGGGGGCAGGAGGCGTATGGGAAATCTCTGGACCTTCCTTTCAGTTTTGTCATGAACCT